TCCCATAGTATAGGATCATTAGGGTTGTGTTTTGTCCAGTTTTTAAAGTAGTTTTGTATATAGTCTCAGATCTCATGAGGATCTGTAATAATTGAATTTGGTAATTTGATATTTTGAAAAATTACTGTCTCTGTATGCCTATCAAGAATATTATTAATCATTGTTGTAGTATGAAATATAAAGTTATTATATCTTTTTTCAATAAACTGATTAATGTGTTGTGAAAAAGCTTGCTGGTTCTCAGTTTTCTATATATGATATAGGGTTTTTAGTGTGTTTTCATTATATTAATAGTTTGTACAATATTGTCAATACTAATATCCTGTGGTGATAGATTTGCAATAAGGAAATTAGATATTTGCTGTATTGTATAGATTTTTTGATTAATTACTTGAAACATTGTATTGTAATTATGCAAGTGGTAATTAGAGTTTTTATATAGTATTACCAATTTATTGAGTATACTACTACATAAGTTTAGTGCTGTGTGCATTTTATTTGCTTTAGATAAAAAGGTATTGTGTTGTTTTTGTAAGTATCGTAAGAAAGGTATGTGTGATTTTGCTGACTCAGTAATTGCTATATTGATTTGGTGCCAAAGTTAGTTAAGTGAGAATGTATATGCTATTTCTTTTGTGATCTGAGAAGTGGTATGTTGAGTGGTTTGTTGAAATTGTTCCCAGAGTTCAGATATCATAGTATCATATTTATAGAACTTAAACTTATGTTTTTTGTGGTGTTTAGATAGGTTAACATATAATTGCAAGTTTGTATATATAATACAGTAATCACTATGTATGACTTGAATTGCAAGAGTTAGTATAGATTGTGTGGCTATATACATAATTTGTTGGGATATCCATATTTTATCAATTTGGCTGGAGAGATTATCACTGTTCCATGTATGTGAATTAGGGTGGTAGGTATAGACCAGAGGTATAAAATTATATAACTCAAAGTATTTGTATAGTGTTGATCTTTGTCATTTGTGTAAATCTTGGTTAAAATCCCCTAGAATTATAGATATGATCTGGAGCTGGTGGGCTTGTTGGATCCATACAATAATCTGGTTTTGGGTTTTATTATTTATAAATGTTTCCTTTGGTAAATATACAGATATAATGTGAAAGTTGTTTTTGTGTGAAAAGAATATGTCAACTGCGATAGCTGTGCCAAGTAGTGTCTAGATATTGTATATATATGTTATGAGTGGTTGGGCTACTAAGATAGCTATATCTGCACTGGATTCTCTAGAGTATAAAGAGGTTGTATTTGAGTTATTAGATGAAAAGCATTTATAGTACTGGTTATACAAGTTCCTATCTGTGTATTTGGAGTATGCTAGTTTGTTTCTGTAATTAATACAATGTCAAAGTTTTGAGCTAAACAGTAGTCAAACAGTAATTGTTTTTTTGTGATTTAATTAAGTCTTTGAACATTATTTATAACAATTGTGAGTGGTTTGATTGTAGATTGTGTTGTCATAAATTAATTAATTCATATCCATCAGCATTGTATTAGCCTCTGGTGTGGTGGTGGAGAGGTTTGAGTAAGAGAATATTTTCCAAGATGGGATTGAAAGTGAAGGTAACTTAAATAAGAAGCTAAGAATAGCTTTAACTGTAAAGTATTGGCGTAATGTTTGCATAGTGGGAGTGACTAGTGTTTGTAATGTAATTGGTAAAGTTAGCTGTATATTGTGAGAAGCTAGAACTATATTTATATCCTCTATATTGTTTGATATAGGGGTAAAGGTACTTCACTAGTATTTGTATCATTAGGGTTGTTGGTTACAGGTGCTTGAATTGGAATTTTTATCCACTTGTCTGGTAACTTTGTAAAATAGTAATGTTGGCAAAGAAATTTTGTAGTTTATGTAAGTTGCTGGGGTGTGGTTATAGGTATAGTAATTTTATGTTCTGTCATAATCTGGTTGCTAGTAGGTAGGCCAGGTTTATTAGTGGAATTCACCTGCATGATGATATGTGGCAATGGGAGTCTTATTCTATACTTTCGTGAATTTGAATAAATAATTTGAATAAATAATTTGAATAAATAATTTGAATAAATAATTTGAATAAATAATTTAAATAAATAATTTGAATAAATAATTTGAATAAATAATTTGAATAAATAATTCGAATAAATAATTTGAATAAATAATTCGAATAAATAATTTGAATAAATAATTCGAATAAATAATTCGAATAAATAATTTGAATAAATAATTTGAATAAATAATTCGAATAAATAATTCGAATAAATAATTTGAAGCTTCGATTATTTTTAGAAAATCTTGTATTCTGTAAACCTCGTAATTCTGTTATTCTTAAACTCAGATTGAAATTTAAGAAACGATTACGTACATGATTTTAGTGGTGATACTAGGTGGGTTAACTATCCATGACAACACTATTTATAATAACTTCCAATATTGATATCGATATTTAAATATTCGATTTTGAAAAAAACGATTAGGTCGAATAAATGGTCATTATCATCAAAGGTATGTCAATTTAAGTGAATTATAATTATGATATAATGGATAAGTTGGTATATATGTACAAAATATCGTTGAAAACCAAAAATATATCTGAAAGCATAATTAACTAAACAAAATATTCGTGAATCCAAGACAAATACTCAACCAAACGCCAAGCACAATTCCTAAAAATTCACGATTTAACGTTTCGCCAATCATCACACCACTATCAAAGGGTTAGCCGTGGAATTAGAGGGATGCATTGTAGAATGATAAACTGTCGTAACACGCATGATCATTGTAGATATAATGTTTCCCTGATGTTCAATGTAATGATAATGATGTTGGAGTTTGAGTTGGAGTTGGACTAGCGGATGAATCTTTGTCCTTTAGCATGGTACCAAAAGGAAGACTGGGTCTATTGCTGTTATGAGATTTACCAAAATCTTTTGGAAGGTCAGCACTTGTGATTTGAAGAAATGTGATGATGATGATAACGAGGAGTGTTATAAAGATAAAAGTATATTTGAGGTGGATAGACATTGTTTCTTTTTTAAATTATACTTTTGTGAAATATACGTAAATGTCAAAGCTTATTTTTGTCAAATTTGATTATATTGTTCATTTAAATATCTTTTTGGATAAATCGAAAATTGTTAGTGAAGAATGAGTTTTTTTATCTCAAAAAAAAAACTATTGATTTTTTTTTTTTTTTGCGCAATCATTAAATCAATCAATTCAATAATATATATGCTCAAAGAATCAAATGATGTATCATTGTCGTTATTATACTATATATTAACTATATATTAATTTATTTAGTAAAAATATTTAAAATATTTAAAGATAAATTGGTTACAGAATTAGCATTTAGAATTTTAATTTTGTTAATCTAAATTTTCGATGATGTTGAATTTATCTTATTTATTAAAATAATAAATTGTTCGAATTAATCTTTATATTTTAATGAACATAGGATAAGCGTAGGATGAAGGCATACATGCATATAAGAAAAAACGTATATGCATGTATTGAACACAAAAAATCAATAAGGAATACTTTATTGATAAAAATGCTTTTATGATGTTAGAAAAAATATACAAATATTAAACATTATTAGCGCGCCTTTTGAAACATCAATTATTAACATTCATTATTATTCATATTGTATTGGTTTGTATTATTATTAAGCACTAAAAAAATATATATACTTTATATAGCGCAAACATATTATTTTATGGCACATGAACATGTTATTGAAAAGTCACCGATTTGTTTTATTCAAACCTTTATTGTTGTGAATTTTTTGATTATTTTACTATATAGGTGACATAGGTGATAGTTTTTGGCTCATCGTAAGAGCCTTGGAAATGCCATCAAAGAACAGGATGGATGAATGATAAAATGGTTGCTGTTTTGTTCAATTATACAACATAAAACATTTATGATATCGATTTTTCACCTCTTTATGATTTTTTATCTTTGTTACCGTTCGTCTCATTCTCTTAATTTTGATAAGGGATTCACTGTCATTTGCATAATTTGTCTAGCTATGGTCCGAAAATTCCTATTTAGTTCAGTAATGCTTACAGTATGCCACATGGGGGATTATCCTGCTAGGTGAACTTAAAATTGTCAAAAAACGACCTGCACATATCAATACTATTTGGTGACGAAGTCGTCATATATATAATTGTTACTCTTAAAAATTGGGGTCTCAACATAGCGATAGGGTTAATAAATTAAAAATAGGTTATTTGTCTACAAATAGAAATTGTAAGATTCGGCTAAGCCATAATTTATACAGAATATAGATACATAGATCATTTGCACCTAAAGTATTGGTCTCAAGGTTAATAGTGCAACGCCAGCAAGAAATTATTTGTGAAATTTAATTACCTTGTAAAGTTTCTTTTTTACATACATATGTACTGTAGGTACATAGATAAGAGTATTTAACTGTTATAATCAATTTTGGCCAATAATTTTATAATTTTTAGGGCACTGACATTTATTACGTAATTTTTTAAGAGTGTGGAGGGTTTGTATATCAATATATTATCGTTACGTTATACGTAAACATATAGTATATATAATTAATTGGTCAATCATAATTGGTCTTATGTGGGGTACGTACGTACGTACCTCTATCTGCTATCATCAAATGGCGTACGTACATATACGTAGCTTGATCAATAATTAGGCTTTTTAAAAGTATATAGTTTCCCCAAATTGAGGCAAAAGTTCCAAACGCTTTTTTAACAGATCAGTATATACGTAAAAATAAGTAGATATTTTTAAACTCGAATTGATTTTATGAACATTATACCTGCAATTTATTTTTATCATATAGACATTGAATCATCATTATTTTATTATTCTCTCTAAAAGAAATTTAGTGATTAAAAATTTTAAACCATCAGTGTAAGGGAACGTCGCACAATGCACGTGTCGTGTAACGAACATGTCGGAGATTCACAGAACGATCGTATATCACG